GGAGCACACGTTTTATAATATAAGAAAAGGAGAGCACCTGCAGCTGAGAATGTTGGATGGAAAACACCCAGAAGTCTCCTGGTATTTTAAGCCTCCCTCTGGCTACTGCATGGCCCACTTTAGGTTTTCAGTCTCCTCCGCTCTATTATTGGGCATTGTACCAGTCGCATGGTGGAGGAAAGTCAGTCTGTTGAATATTCCTTTTAATGTTTGGCAGCAGGGTGCCGTTGTGAGCGTTCCTGAACATGACACGGACTCCCTAGTTCGGATGCATCACTTAAACATTGATGCCAAAGATGGGTTAAAGATGAGAAGAATATGAAACTCACAAAGAAAGTCTGAGGGGTTTTTGTTGCAGTCAGTTCTTTTTGACATGTGACAGAAAACACAGAAAACAGGGTTGTTTTTATGTAAATGCAAAGAGTGTAAATTAATATTGACTTGTGCTTTTTTTTTAGTGATAATTAAGATAGTGGTGTAGATAATGATACAGAAGATCTTAGTGAACTCCAAGAATGAATGCATTGCAATACCAAGCAAGGCGACGCTGGCCCGTCATTCAGCTCTGCAGTCGTCCCACACATGGGATGAAGGTTTTCTGAGTGTTGTGGATGACTTTATGTATTAAGCAAAGAGTCCGTGCATCCTCCCCCAGGACATTTTGAGCATCAAAAACTTAATTTCCTGCATTCTGGGGGTTTTTTTTCTACATCAAATTGTTGGTTTTCAGTACCTGCAAAATACTGCAAAGGAAACAATATTCAGACACCAGATGCTGATTCAACACATATTTAGGCGAGATGTGCTCTTTTGTCCTCTTTGAGGTCTTTTGTTTGAAGATTTATCCATTTAAATGTGCATCTCGCACAATTTAATGATACTTTTATTCATTTTTAATACGTTTTAAACTCTTGGACTTCAAATATGTTTCAGCAAAATTTCTGAAAAAAATAATTCAAAACTGCCCATTTAGAATATATTGCTTAAACTGCTAAATTAAATTCCTCGTTGGGCTGCAGGGTGGCGCAGTTGGTTAGCACTGTTGCCTCGCAGCAAGAAGGTCGCCGGTTCGCGTCCCGGTGGGGGCACCAGAACCTTTCTGCGTGGAGTTTACATGTTCTCCCCGTGCAGCGTGGGTTCTCTCCAGGTTCTCCGGCTTCCTCCCACACAGTCCAAAAACATGTTGAGGTTAATTGGTGATTCTAAATTGTCTGTAGGTGTGAATGTGAGTGTGCTTGGTTGTCTGTCTCTAAGTGTAGCCCTGTGATAGACTGGCGACCTGTCCAGGTGAACCTGAGTCAGCTGGGATAGACTCCAGCCCCCCACGACCCTTGTGAGGATTAAGCGGTGTATAGATGATGGATGGAAATTCCTTGTTTTTTTTTAAGTAGTATTTCAGAATAAGAGTCTTTTGCTGTGCAAATGCACGTGTTTTGAAACCTGACGGGGACGTATCCCATGCATCCCCTCTGAAACCTACACCTGTGGCTCCATACGTTCCTTCACGTGTCATGTGTTGAAACAACTTGCTTTAGGAGAAATGAAAAGAGCCACAAGAATTCTGTAGTCTTCTTAATTAGTAATGTCCATGAAACTAACTGACTTTCTATGAGTATGTATTGCCTTTTTGTGGTAATCGTGGCAGCTTATACTCTTTTTAAAACATCTTGCATAAGAATGGCTGACTATTTTATAAAACATTCAGACTATGTTGCAAAGTATAACATTGATTCCTGCACATTTTCCACCATAAACACAGAAACTTGTGACATTTCACACACATACCAGATCAGAATCAAACCCACACACACACTGCTGGGCCTGATAAATAGGGAGATGTGACTAACCAGTCGTGAAAGCTTTTAGAGAGAGAGCTCTGTGCTCGAATGTGGAGTCGCTTACATGACCGACACTTCATGGATGTGTCACTTTTACGCCTGACGTATTCATACGCCATCACTCATGTTTATTTGTCTTTGATCGGGAGTTGAAAAGTGAGTGTATGTGAAGGCGTGACTATAATGCATGTGTGAGTCTTAAAAATACGCACCACGTACATGATGTCATCCCCTAACGTTGTGTGGAGACGCAGCTTGGCGCCTGGCCTATCTTTGCACTGAATTATTCAGCTCCAGCATGTAATATGACACTCTAATGGGCACACTCACTGAATGCATTAAGAGCTAAAAATGACGTAAACTCTCTGTTTCAGTCACTTTATTATGCGAGCTCTGTGCATTTGATTCCAGCTGAGGTCTGGTGCTTCCTATGACAAACAAGCCTACATTTTGTAGGACCCTGTTCCTTTTATTTATATATATATATGTGCTTTAGTTCTCTTCTTTTAGTTTCCTTGTCTCTCTGAGGGACATTCAGGGATTCACCACTCCCTGAGATTCAGGACACCTCCCTATTAATAGCACCGTGGCTCACAGCTCTCAGGTCTCCTATTTCTTCTCACTTATTTCCACTCACCTGTCTGTCCCGCTCCCACCAGCCTCTTTTCATTTAAATAGAGACAGACTGGCTCGTCTTTAACATCATACCCTTGCAACAACAGAAAAAGAAACAATATCTCAGTCTGTCAGGGAGTTTTTACTTTGCTAAATGCTACATTAGCTTTTTTTAGCCAGTAGGGGGCAAAAGAACATCAAAAACTTGTCAAAGCTAATGTGTTAGCAAAAAGTTATCTTTAATTAACACTAATTTATACTTTTTTTTTTTTTGCCACGTTAACTTTAAGTTTAGTATTCACTCTGTCTCAGTCTGTCGGGGAGTTTTGGTTTAGCTAAATGCTACATTAGCTTTTTTTTAGCCAGTAGGGGGCAAAAGAACATCAAAAACTTGTTGAAGCTAATGTCTTAGCAAAAAGTTATCTTTAATTAACCCTAATTTATACTCATTTTTTTTGCCACGTTAACTTTAAGTTTAGTATTCACCCTGTCTCAGTCTCTCAGTGAGTTTTTGTTCAGCTAAATGCTACATTTGGGTTTTTTTAGCCAGCAGGGGGCAAAAGAACATCAAAAACTTGTCGAAGCTAATGTGTTAGCAAAAAGTTATCTTTACTTAACACTAATTTATACTTGTGTTTTTTGCCACGTTAACTTTAAGTTTAGTATTCACCCTGTCTCAGTCTCTCAGTGAGTTTTTGTTCAGCTAAATGCTACATTTGGGTTTTTTTTTAGCCAATAGAGAACACAAGAACAGCAAAACATGTCAAAGCTAATACGTTAGCAACCAGCTAACTCCTATTAACACTAATTTTTACTTATGCTTTTGCCACACGTCAACTGTAAGTTCAATATTTACTCTGCTTTTAGCTCTAAAAAAATAGTTGGGTATTTGCTTGCTAATGTTAGCCGTATTTTTGTGTTTTTTTTTTTTACACTGGGTAACTCTAGCAAGTTCCTAATGTGTTTTTTTCTTTTGGTGCTACACAGGTAAGCAAGCTTTTACCATTTTGTTGTTTTTGCTTTAAGACTGAAACATAAAGTAATTTTTCTAATAAAATTAATGAGTGACAAAAAAGAAAAAAAAATGTCATGTAGCTGCTGAGCTGGGTGATAATTTGTCTGTTAACTTTTTCATTTGACATCCATTTAGCCTAAACTTGGGGATACACTGACGTCGACACCTCATGCTGACATTTGACATTTATATAAAAATACACATTTATCTTAATGGAGCCGGTTGTAGGACTCCTTTTAGCTCATGAACACTTTATTACAAGGCACTGTCACTACTCTCAGTCAGACATGCTGCATATTATTATTTTGGGAGAGATGAGGCCTTTCAGAAAACCCATCATTTGGCACGAGAGGGGGACTAAACAGGATAAGCAAAAAGAGAGGGGTGCCTCTTAGTGGAAATCCCCAAACTGGATTGTAATTAGATAGTTGGAAAGCAGAAACAAAGACAGCTCTTCTTGGTTCTTAAAACTTGTTCATTCTATCCTGATACACTTTCTCCACCAAGGCAGGTTGAGAGCTGCTTTGAAACCAGTATGCCTAACTCAAACCAGTTTGCATATCAGCAGGCAAATAGCTCTTGTTGTGGAAAACTGCCTCCAAAGTCGTCCCGCATGCCTCGACTATTCTCTTGCGCTGACACAGGCCTTCGTCTGCCTTGACCTTACAGCTGCTCGGTTTTTCCCTCACTCATATAAAAAAGTCCTGCAGCTTTATAATAGCAGCACAATGATGGCTAGAGAGAACTAAAAAAATGTCTTGTAACATAATTCTAATGCCACAATTCATCATTATTTTATGAATTATTACTGATTTTGCAAGAATTTCAAATCAAAAGCTGCAATCAACACGTGTAACATTTTCCCAAAGGGCTCATAGATGCTACTAATGCTGACATGACTGTGACTCTGTGTAGTGTTTTTATTACTGTTTTCTTTTTTAATTTGTTCAGATTAGTTCAGCTCACGTCTACACAAATAGTCTCTGAATCTTTTTCATGCAACTGTTGGTCACAGCCGAGTCAAACGTTGCTTCTTGGTTGTACTGAGGAGAATCTTTGGTTTTTACAGAATCTGATTAGTGAAAACTGTTCATTTGTGGCATTAAAAGCAAAAAAGAAACATGTAGAGTAATTTTGTGAAATATATTTTAAGCTTAGATTTATTTCAATATTAGTTTAGTGAGTGTTAAATTCCTTCCATTTTAGTAGTTTGCTGTAATTTGGACCTTTTTTTTTAATTAAATTCAGAGGGTTAAACTAATTCCATTTATTTACAATGTGCCTGTCGTGCAGTAGAGAGAAAGCAGCTCATTAGTGTCTGCCTCCTTTCTCCTCGAGCCCCTTGTTTGTTCCTTCCAGCTCTCCTTTTTTGCAGACGGGTGAGATTTGCCTTCATATCACAAGTGCCTGTGAGCCTTTTCCCCTCTCCCCCCCCACCTCCCCTCCTTCCTCCCCTCATCTCCCCTTTCCACTCATGTCCCCTGGCGGTCTGGGATTCCACGGATGTCTCTTCCAGTAAAATAAGCTCCTGTCCCATCCCCGGGCAGACCACAACACACCATGGAGCCGACATGGACGCATCTCTGACCTGCCGGGCTGCAGAGTAGCCCTCTGCACGGCAAACGCCCCTTTGAACTGTAGTGTGTGTGTGTGTGTGTGTGTTAGTTTTAGTGTGTGTGTGTGGTTTTGTATGGGCTAGGATGACAGTTTTTTAATATTTTTTTTGCATTATGTTCTTTTGGAGAAGGAGCTAGCATGTCTAACGGTTACCGGACTCTGACTCGAGGACATGCCTTGATAGTTGCTGTCCTCTAAAATGGACTTCCCCGATGATACGGAGAGGTCGAAGTCGACAGCTGATTTCTGATCTATTACGGACATGTCAAGCGGTGTCGGTGCTCTGTGACGGTCATGTCTAACGGTTACCGTACTTTATCACAGCACCTGAATGACCTGAAGAAGGAGAACTTCAGCCTCAAGCTCCGCATCTACTTCCTGGAGGAGAGGATACAGCAGAAGTACGAGGAGAGCAGCGAAGATGTCTACCGCACTGTGAGTAGGACGGCTTTCCTCTCTGATACGTCAATGAATGGGAATGAATGTTGATGAATGGGACTGTAAGGGGTTGTCCTAAAAAAATGCATATAACAGTCCCAGCTGAGCTTTGTGAGTGGTTTATCAGAAGATTTCATTTGTGCCGTTATCAGTGCTACTTCATCACCTTTACTCAGCCACTTACTGTTTGTTGACCCAGCTGTCGCACTGATCTGTGATGTGACCCGTCATGTGTTTGCTTTACCGGGTGCTTGTTTTAAAGATATGGCTGCTGCTAAAAGACTACACATTAACTACATCTTTGCTCAGCAGCTTTGGTTTGCGACACTTTTTGTGCGGTTTCGAAGGACTTGCTGTCCGTTGCTGTCTCATACTGGGATTTGTGAAAATTGTGTGCCTGTTGATTAAACTGAATAGATCCAATCCTTCCTCACAGTCCAGAGATAATGAAATAATAAGACGAAGCTATTATGACGGCACATTAGTGGGAGCGTTGAGTTGTGTTAAATCGTTTTGGTACCAATCAAAATGAGACAGTAGCACAGAGTGTCCAAAAAGTTCTGAAAGCAGATGTCAAATCAGATCACATCAGAAGCAAAGGCAGCACTAATATTGGATTGGTAAGTGACAAACTACCCTGAAGTCTGAGAATCAATACGAGGAGAGATTTGGATCAGTGCATCCCAGTTTGTTTTTTAAAAAAAAATCAAATAGATGCTAATTTGAATTCTAAAAATTGTTGATTTTAATTACGATTTTAGTTAAGAAATCTTTTTTCCTTTGCTTTCCGTTGCAAGTGCGTTTTTTTCAATTAACGTTTATGTTCCTTGAAATTTTTCGTACTTCATACATTAAGTATTCGAAAAGTTTTATTTTTATTTTTTTAACCTATTTTTATGATCCACATCTACTCTCTGGCCGGATTCTGATAATATTCAGACAGAGCAGAGCCAACATCCTCCATTATTTCTACACACTCTGCTCTGTTATTCTTCTGTGCTGCTTTAGCCATGAAAGGCCATCTTTGGAAATACTGGGTTTAAACGCTCCCAGGCAAACATTTTATCATGCCGGGCATGTGGTCTACATTTATGAGAGCATGAAAATACCTTTGCAGATACAATCTGCTGCTTGATAACAGATTAAAAATAGCGTTCAATTTTTCCCCTGTAGTTTGCTCAGGGTAGCAGAATCACATAAGGTTGAGGTCACAAACAAAGTAAGGTATCAAAGAAGTATTGTGCTCGTATTTGTTCCACATCTTGCAAATAAGTATCAGTGTTTATCTATTGTAGTTTGCAGCTGTGTTGCCACTGGGGTTTAAAAATGTGTTAAAATAATTCATTTGCCAAACAACAAAATAGACAACAATTGTGTTTTTAGTAATTAAGTTTGAGTATTTTCTGCTTTTCTGTTATGTGTTGTTGAACTTCCTGGGCTTTGGGCTGGTGGTCAAACAAAAGAAGAAATTTACTTACTGTTATTGTTATTGTTTTCACATTTCTTAGATTACAGAATTTTTTAATGAGGAATCAGAAAATAATCTTTAACTGCAGCCCTAAAAATGACAACATTTTAAAAACCGTTTGTGTCTCTCTCAGAGCTTCTGTGATTCTGCTGTTTAAACGAATGTGTTGCTTTCCTCTGCTTGTTTCTCAGTGTGTTTGCATCCGTCTGTGCCCATCTATATGTGTGCGTGTAAAACGTGCACCTACAATAAGGTGACCCAGTTCAGCTGTTGTCTGTTATCACAACCCGGCCCGCACTTCAAACCTAACTCTGTCCTCGTCCCTTTATTCTAAATCCCTTGTGATCACCAACACTTACTTGATATGAGAAAACTAAACGGCTGTTTGATCCGGCCAAACGAGACCTGAGCGTTCTTCCACTATTAAAGCATACCAGCGCTGATTGAGTAAACTGATATCTCGTTGCACAGACTGGAGTTTAATTTACAGATCTGTCACTCTGTGCGGCTGAAGATTAAACATTGAAATCACTTTTTATTGGACACTAAATCTTTGTTCCATGGAAGTGACCCGACCTGAGCTGCTCGCATCGAGTGTCGTGACAGAGCGCCAGTGTTCTCATCCTTTCTCTGAGGCATTTCATGTAATACAGTACAGACTAAGTGTGTTGGTCCTGGGCACATAGTGATCTCTCTGAGCGCTCCAGAACCTCTATTTATAGAGCACCCTTCAGTGCACTGATTTACCGTAGGACACGGCTCATGCATTATTACACGTGCGTGTTCGTATGTTTGTTTCTCTTTTAGTCGTGTAAGGCCGTTTATCACATTATGACGGAGACGTATTATTTAAGAGGCACGATTAGCTTCCATCTGGAGCTGCAACTTAGATACTGAACAATGTGTTGTAGTGTTTTTCCAAATAAAATTAATTGGTGAGTCAGATACCTTATTTTAGTTGAACTGTAAGTCAGAAAATCCAATTGTCAGTGAAATGAGCAGCAAATCTTCATATTTGAGAAGCTTTAGCTTGTAAATGTTCATTGTTTATACTTTTAAAGTTGTATTCTAAAATGCTGCTGCCAGTTAATTGGAGGTGGTAATTCCAAATTATGTAAATCTCCAGAGTGGATTAGTGTGCAATAAGCAGGATCATTATGAGATGAATTTCGGCTAAATGGTAATATGTGATGGACTCGTGGGTGGTCATTCACAATGCTGCAGGTGTGTTTGCTTTATGTGTGGTCGTCCCGTCAGTGATTTAAGTGCAGCCATCTCACTCCTCTTGGTTAAAAGCGGACCTGTTGCTGAGGGCCGACAGGCCAGGAGGGGCCAGAATAGCAGGTGCACGGTGATGGGTGTCTATATATAGAGCTGTTTTCAAGACGGGGAAATGTCTCTCTTACTGTAAACCATGTTGTTGACACACGCAGGAATACGTGCTGCTCCCACATGCACGTTACATTATTTATTATCAGAGCATTTAGTCGAGTGATTGACTGTCGATAGCTGTGCAGCGCATGTGCCTGATCAGATGTTGCATAAGCTTCAGTTGCTGCTGCCTTACATAGTAACATAAGTAGAGTGGAGCTCATAGAGATTCATTGATTGCAGCAGCTTTAATGATCAATATAAATAGAAAGTATACCGGACTAAGCTACTGCCCGATCCATGAGCAGCCCTCAACACACCATGGAGCTGACATGGAGACATCTCTGATACTTCAAGAGTAAAAACTAAAGCATCCCAGTCACTAGATGCTCTTTCAAAATATGTATTCATAGATTTATTTGCACTAAACACAATCCACTCTGATTAATAAATGTTTGTTAATAAATAATGCATTTTATCTGCTTTACTAAACACAAACCACCTTCACTTATTTTAAAAGGAACTTTTATTGTCACTCTTTTCTTACTGTTGCTCATCCACAACACTCTAACTACATTCAAACCAAAATGTATCTCCACCTTTATGGTCTTCATCTGTGGCTCTGCTCATTGGTCTCTTGATCATTTAGTTAATTACTTTCCCTACACAATGCCCATAAACTGTAAGAAATGTTGATCATAGTCTCCTACAGTCCAAATCAATGTCTTCAAATGTGTACAGTCATAGAAGAAAAGCAGAAAATCCTCTTATTGGATGATTACTTTTCCATCAAAATAGTTGCTGAGTAGTTTTCTATCAAAGGGTATATTATATGATTTCAGGTATTTTATGGAACTTTTCATGTCTGAAGATGAAAACAAAAATGATGCTTATGCTTGTCAATAAGGCTGCAACGAACAATTACTTCTGTTTCTTTAATTGTCAGAAAACTTTAAAAAACAGAAACTACTCAAACTTCATTTGAGAACTTTGGATTTTTTCTTAATGTCAAACTGATGAATGTTTTATTAAAAATACATGACGACTGGTTTTCTTTTTTGACAACTATTCAATTAATTGTTGCAGCTCTACTTGTCATTTAATATAATATGAATGATATTTAATTTTTGCAGAGTGAATGTGTACGTAAATGGCGACTAGCAGTATGTGAGCACTCACGGTTCCCTTTTAGTTAAAAAAAACAAATCTAGGTTTCAGGTTGCATGTGTTGATGTGCTCTTTGTGAGTATTACAGACATGCAGCTCTCTGGCAAGGACAGGGGAAGGTCGACGGGCTGCAAGTGAAATTAAAAATTGAAATAGTCCAAGATGGACCAATGAAAGCAGCATCAGCATCAGATCTGACTCCTGCAGACAGATCCAGACAGACGGGCAGATAAACTGTCCTCTCTCGCTTGTCTGAGGTCAGAATGGAAAGAATGATCCCCACTATTCCCCCTGTTCAAATCCCCTCGCCCAGCGTATGAGCACTGATTGCCCCCTAAGTTCTCCCCCGTAGATCCCAGCAGGTAAACAAACTGTAGCGTTCAGCCTTTTGGCCCCATGAGTGAGTATTTGAGCTGCCCTGAATTCTCCAGCTCTAAATAGATCAGCCATGACAGCACGGTCAGATGCTCTGCACTGATGACACTCAACACCCACACAGCAGAGACAGAGAGATTACAGCGAGATGGAGAGATGAAATGGCTGAGAAAAAACCGAGCAGGGAACGAGACAAATAAGTGCTAAATGTGCGAGGGACAGAAGTAATAACCTTGAGATTCAGACAAACCCGTTAAACATAGAAGCAATACAATGCATCAGAGATACAGATACACTCTACAGAAAATGATGAGCTATTAATGTATGATATTAATAATATATGATCCTAAAATAGATCCTTTGTATCTGCGGTGTGTGACGAGCTATTCCAACAGTTACATGTCTGTATGTTTCTCTTCAGGCTTGATAAGTCCTGAACTGTTTAAGGCGACATATCCAATGAAAATGGTTTTGAATTGTGTTTTAGAGCATCATAATGAAGTTTTATATGATTTAACAAGCTTTGACCTGAGAGTTTTGTTGCTGTTGCTTTTCCACTGGAAAACTGCCAGTCATGTCATTTTATTGTTGGCTTTTCCCCAATAGGTGTTATCAAAATTTAGAATATCCACTAATCATTGTCATTGGTGGATATCCTAAATGCTTCAGTAGAACCCAACAAGACTTTTCTTTTTGGTTTTTGAAAATGTTTCTCATCCACGAAGCTTCAAAGAGACATACTTTGGGATGGACACTCCTCGAATGGTGCAACTCGATGATATAGTGTTAGGTAGACACAGACTCATCCTTAACAGCTTATCAAGCAGAACAGATTCTCCTGAAGGACCAGAACTATTAACTAAGCAAGGCAGAGGGAGAGACAGGTCCATTTTGCTATGGATGCATTTCAGGACAGGAGTGACCAGACCCTCTAGAAATTGACAGCATGTGAACCCAGAGCAGAAATTCCACATATTGCAGTCAAGGACACATAACTCCAGGGCAATCACAACCAGTCGCACAGGAACAAGACAACTCCACAGTGATAGACTTTCAGGATAAAAAATCTGAGCCTTTTGGATGAGGTGAAACGTCTTCAAGTACCAGTAAGACGCCCAGCTGCCTTATTCTGACAGCACTTAGGATTACAATTATTGATTGACTGATCATCTCTCTGCTCTTCTTCCGTTGCAGAACATCGAGCTGAAGGTGGAAGTAGAGAGCTTGAAGCAGGAGCTCCAGGAGAAACAGGACCTTCTGGACAAAGCACTGTAAGTCCCCGAATATTATCAGATTTAGTTATTACTGCGATCTCAACTTAGCTTGTCAGGCTGTTAGTGTGAATGTTGGTTTTAAAAGACTTTCTTCCCCTCATTATAAGCATGCATCACAGAAAAGAGGACTTAACTGAAAGGGGAAGATCGATATTTCGGTTTAGGAATCGTTACCCTGTGAAACTGATTTAACATCAGTAATGAATCACAGATAAGATGGACGGGCATTGACTGCTTGATGCTTATTTCAGGAACAGCCTGTGCACCATAACAATGTACTTGGAGTCTTTTATATAGTGCATTGTGTGCTGCTAGGCTGAAAGAAAAATTGCTTCAGGAATTCTTTTTTTTCCCCCGTTCTGCTCAATATTCTTGCGTTGGACTGTCTGACTCATGAAAGTGATGCGTGTGTGTTTATGTGTGGTTGTGCAACTCCATCTACGGGTGTTCGAGTGTGTTCTTGCCAGAGATTAGCTGCGATTCTCTGCGTGCTCCTGCTGTAACGCCTCATACCTCAAACAGCTCATATGCCGTGCAGCTGCTGAAAGAGAAAACACACACACACGCATGCACACACGAACACGCACACACAATAAGTTTATGCAATCTGCACTATCAACCCCCAACATATTACGTAAACCTTCCTCGAAACATTTTTAAAAATCCAAGTTTTCCATCTGTGATTGCAAGTATCCAGCCTGTAAAGTGCCCTTAACAGAGCAACAGAGCAAAACGAGTAAAAGTGGATTTTCAGCAGAGTTTCTCAGAAAAGCTTGAATATTTTGGAGATGCTATCACATGTTTGGATTTTAATAGCAGAGTTTTCTGTTCAAACTAAACTGGTGCAGAAAGAGTGGCTTGGCTGATTTGAGAGTTTATGTATAGTTTATTAGACAGAGTAAACCAGCGCATGGGATTTAAAATAAACTATTTTTGTGTTTGACACTGTTGATTCTTAAAAGAAATGTTCTCCTCCGCCTGTGACACTCCTCCAATTCCACATAGGAACGATCTTAACATTTTAGTTGATGATTAACTGTCATACATATAATTGCAATGAATAATTTAACTGTCGCTGCAGGGTGGCGCAGTTGGTTAGCACTGTTGCCTCGCAGCAAGAAGGTTGCCGGTTCGTGTCCCGGTGGAGTTTGCATGTTCTCCCCGTGCAGCGTGGGTTCTCTCCGGGTTCTCCGGCTTCCTCCTACAAGTCCAAAAACATGTTGAGGTTAATTGGTGATTCTAAATTGTCCGTAGGTGTGAATGTGAGTGTGCTTGGTTGTCTGTCTCTAAGTGTAGACTGATAGACTGGTGACCTGTCCAGGGTGTCCCCTGCCTTCACCCTGAGTCAGCTGGGATAGACTCCAGCCCCCCGTGACCCTAATGAGGATTAAGCGGTGTATAGATAATGGATGGATGGAATTTAACTGTCTTTTTTCGTTCATTTTATGCCTCTGTTAGTCTTCAATTATTGGTTTTAACACCTTTGAGCGCCACTTTTTTTTTTGCTGTACATCCAACAAATCGCCTCTGACAAGTTATTGTTCTCTTTCTTTTCAATTGCCTTGAAAAGAAAATGTGGCCGTTGTGGTGCTGTGGTGTTTGACTCTGCAACAAAAAAGATTAATGTCAGTAGATCGTCATTACAATGCAATGGGTTGAATATTACAAGTTTATTGTGTTGAGATAAGCAGTTGGTGCAGAATAAGGGGATGCAAATAGTGGAAAATGATGTGGAAATAGTGACTGAAAGAAGACGTTTCTCTTATTTTATTCCTGCTCTTCTTTCACAGCTGAATGAAGCTGATTCTAAGGATAATGCAAAATGATTGTGATCAGCTCACATGTTTGCTATCAGGCGATAATATAATAATTGTGACTGGCCTTTTCCAAGATGTATTTTGAAGCTGCTGCAGGGGTTTTGTAGATGACATTGCTACCGTAGGCAATCACCTTGCTAGGTTGTGACCGTGATGGCACTGCAGACACCTTTCGAGTAGTTAGACATCACATTTGTTAGGCCTTGTATTACTTTGCTGCTTTGAGGTCATGGTTGTTGACCGTTAAATCAGTTTGGTTCATCACTGGCCAGCTGTTGGTGCTCTTGGAATGGATGGACTATATTTTATCACCGATCTCCTTCTCTGTGGTATTAAGTAGCAGAATAAAAATATGATGTGAATCACTGTTGTGTGTGAGATGATCTTGACAGTAAAGCAGTTGTTGTAGTTGATTCTGCCTCTCAGCTGGTCAACAGTTTGGCTGCTTTGTCATTTCTACATATTCTTTGGTTTAGTTGGCTCCCCTCCATCTTTTACAGGAATTTGGTGGTTGTTCAAATTGTTCAAATTGTTGACAAGCAAAGATTACTAAGTAGTCTTCTTGCAGAAAGCATGATTTTTGGGCTGTTCACATATCCCGAAGGTCTTGTCCACTTCAAGTAAAGGACATTTGTCCATGAGACAGACAGACACTTACATTACTCAGACTGGTTCAAAATATCCCAGTTATCTGAGCTGCTGCATGTGGCAGATAGAGTTAAAAACGTATGTAGAGAGCGTCCAGAACAGGACTCATGGCGACAGACTGGCGTGTGCCATTCTGGGAGCAGGAATTCTGGGATACAGCCGTTGACTGACTAAGTGATACAGACAGATGCTTGCACAGTTGGAGTCTAAAGAAATGAGGGAAACACACCAGGAGCTGCATGGTGTGTTTGTGGAAGAACACACAGAAAGACGTCTGTGAGAAATTTCAATGTTTAAAATGCACATATTTTGTGTGTAAACAACATATCTTTATCTGTGTTGTCAGTAGAGTGTTTCATCATGTTCACATCTGCCAGGATAGCATCACATTTATAACCTCTTGTTGATGACAAAACAGAGTTACAAAAGTTCAGGTTATTTGCAATTGGAATACAAATCTAAGTTACAAGAATGAGTCTTGTATGAACATCAAGTCTTTTAGCACATCAGACTGTGCGAACATCACTTCTGATGGGATACAGGACAAAAAAAAAAAAACACACCCCGGGTGGGGCACTTACTTAATCTCTGCTATAAGTGGAAGGGTGTAAGGGAATCCCATGAGCACTGCAGTAGACAGAAAGGTGATGACATCATATTATTTCTTGGCTCTCACTAATGTCTCCATCATGTCCTAAAACTGACCCCTCTGACTACATTTGGATGTGCATATGAACTAGTGCTGGGCTTTGGTAGAGTTTTGTTGGATCCACATCCAATTTTAAAATCATTTTGCATCAGTTCTAATGTTCATCACTTGTCAGAAGCTTTGTTTGGTAGCTACTAAATTATTCAGCATTGATGTAATTTAGCTACTTTAGGTAATGTTCACAACCTGAACATAAAATGAGCAACAGAAAATATGAAATCTGGATTGATATTGATTATTCTGATGGAAATATAGTTTAAAAATACCAATTTTTACACTTACACTAAAATCAATTGATTCATGTGAGTCATCGCCCCAGCTTTAGAAAGTGCAACATATTGATGTGCACAGAAAGATTAACTGGGACTCTCTTGTTCTATCAACTCTAAGTTGATCTGGTTTAGTTTGACATCTGGTCTTTTACGATGATAAATTCTGACTTTCTTTCCTTCTCCAGCACAACAGCAGAGAGCTTAACCAACCACAATGAAGCAGAGCTACAGAGACGGTGTCAAGAGAGGCAGCAGGAGATTGACCACATGCAGCAGGTGCTTGAAACAAAGATTCAACTCCTGCAGGAGGTCTGTCTACTCATCCTGTCCTCTAATGATACTGACACTCAGGTGTCCCTGGTTTGCAAATCATAGCTACTGTGTGTATCTTGCAGGAGGCCCAGCTTGCACGCAGTGAGGCCGAGCGGATGGCCTCGCTGGCTGGATCCCACTCCCACGCTTCCCTGCTCTCCTTAGACACCGCCATGGAGGAGATCCCTGAAGATGAGAGGCCTCCCAGCATCCTGTCCCCATCAAACCTCAACAAAGACAGGTGCAAAACACTAAAACATCCCTGCAGCTACCATGAACATCAGACTAAATCCATCGTTCTCTGTCATTGACCGTGCTTCTATCCCTCTATGTTTAGGTTAATAGAGGAGCTGACTAAAGAGCTTTGCTCCAAAGAGGCCCTCATCACAGAGCTGTGTGGAGAAAAAACAACACTCACACTCAGGGTGGGAGAGCTGGAGGGACAAGTTCAGGAGCTATCTTCATCTCTGCTACAGAAGGACAAGGATGTGGAGGTAAATATTGCTTTTATTCCTGCTTTAAGTCACACCCAACATCAAAAATCCTATTGGGTGGCTTTCATGTAACTGAGTCTTAGTTCATGGATCCTCATTGTTTTCTACTTCGTATCTCTAATCTGAGGAAATGTAGGAACCTTTCAGTAAATGTTTTTTTAATTTTGGTGGAGGCTTTGACCTGTTTAGGTCACACCCTGAACAATTTATGTTAGGCTTCTAATGTTACAGCATTCCTGTGGAGCACCACACTTCTATTCCAGAAAGGGGCTCCTGAAACAGCATATGTTGCATTCCTCTGTGTTATTTTGACAGCTATTCTTGTAGGTCACAGGAGCTGTCTGCATGCACTAAATACCCTCCTAAACTGCCACACACATACATACAGATATAAATGCATATGAAGTACTGATACACTGCACCAGAAACATGAGGTCATCTGATAAAACCAATCATTTAGCTTTTCTCTACAGATGTATATAATCCCTCTCTCTATAAATCTAAAAACTGAATCTAATTATTAACTTTTAGAATTCTGAGATTAGCACATACAGTAGGTTTATAATCTGTTTTTTTTCTATTACACAGTTCTACCAGGAGGAACTTGGCCAAGAGAGGCTGCGCATTGAACAGGAGATGCAGGTATGTGCAGCATTGTTGCTGAATTTGGATGACGCATTTTAGTATTTACAAGAGCTTTGTATCCTTCGCCTTCACTTGTTATGTTAGACTTCTCCACTAAGTGTCAGAGCAGCATCACATTTGAGTGCAGAGTACTTGTCAGACAGACTCTGCCTCCTTATGGAGAAATGACACATAACGTTTTCACAAAAGAGCTGACATCTGGAGAAAAAAACACGACACAAATTTAAATGGTTTATAGATTCCTGGTAATTTTACAGAACCTATACATAGTAGTTAAGATATAAAGTTATATAATATGACCAATACATGTAATTCATTGTGCGTTTTAAGAGGTTTGGTACAGAACCAATAAACTTTGTCAGATATTGAACTATTTTACTCATTTTGCCCCTGAAAAAGGTGCAGCATTCAAAATGTTACCAAAGTGCCATCTGGCTCTGTGGAATATTCTGTTCAGAAGTCACCATAATCAAATCAATACACCCTCTGTAGTGCCAGAGCAAAAGGCATCTTTCTACCATAACTGAAAGAACCAATTGTACCCAATGTCATGGCAAAAAGTAAATCAACATCTAGTCAAACACACTGCAGGGAGCTGAAAGTTGGCTTGTTTTTGTGAAATCTAATGCTGGCTGTTTCATGAGTCATTAGTTTTGTGGTTTATTCCAAACCAGACTGGCAAATTATATATGTGGCGATGGGTTAGTACATTTCCCCAAACAAAATGGAGGAACAAGATGCAAAAACAACGGTGTGCTTATGAAGCCTGCAGTGGGTGGTGCATTATGTTTGGCTTCCAGTGAAAGTACAGGTCATCTTATAGGGGGTTTATCTCATCACATGAAGTGCCAGAATCTCATTACATTTACAGGCGCTAACTGCAGCGGCATCCCCAAAGGACACATTTCTCTCCTGATTCATAACGAAACTGCAAATGGAGAGAGACCATTACCTTGACAGCCGCTCACACTAATCCAGATACAATCCTTATCTTGTTAGTTCTATAAGTTAATAATCATAACCTGTTCAGTCAGATTTATCTTGTGGCCGTGTGCAGGGTTGCTTCTTGTTGTTTGGTGTGTCAGTAGTTGCTGTATTTGCTGCAAACGGGCTTGTTGTTGGCTGAGTTTCTCACAAGCAGCATTTTGTTTTCTGGGTGCCTCTGCAGGTGTTTTAACTTGTAAATCAGTTTTGAATGAAGGATGCAAATGTAGTTGCCAAGCAGGCGCTCTGCTCAGATTTCGCACTGTAGGCATGTATGCATTGAAGTGTGTGGATGTGAGCCTCGCTGTGTGTGCACTGAGGAAATAAACAAAGCTGACTGCTCAATGATGGGATACTACACTGTATGTGCAAAACATTTAGTCACCTGTTCAATTTCCTTTTTGATGAGCAGCATTTTGTGTGTGAGTATTTACGGTATACACATAAGAAAAGATGAGCACAGTTGCTTCTCTGATGGCTACACTTGAACTACCTGCATGTGGAAATGCATAATATTGGGTGCGTGCAGAGGATGTTTGACTTTGCAAACCTAAGAGGAAATGACAGTTGTTTAAATGGTGAAAGTGTGTGTGCAGGAAATGTGTGTGAGACACTGTATAGCACCACAGACGGCTGACAGATTACAGAAAAAAACAACATAAAGGGTCTTCACGTTGTTCCAAAATCACCCATACGTGCTTTGTTGGACTGACTGATGACTGCAAAGGCCATAAAATGCGGTTCACATCGTTTTCATATTCTATCCATCCAGTGCCCCCACATGCCCTAATGGATGAGAACATTGTTATCCTAGAAGAGACCACTCCCCTCAGGATAGAAATGTTTAATCCTAGGATAAAGGCAATCACTTAGAACAACTTTGTACTGATTAGCAGTGACCCTTTCCTCCAGTGGGACAGGTGGACCCAAATCATGCCAGCAGAATGCCCCCAACAGCATAACAGAGCCACCAGATCCCTCACTGTTGAGCTCAAGCATTCAAGCCTTTACCGGTCTCGTAAAACGTGCACTCGCCCACTTGTCGAAAATGTGGTGAAGGGTGACTGATCACATTACTTTGTTCCACATCCCTGTAGACCAGTGCTACTGGTTTTTGCACCACTTATCTCCTAAATGTGCATTAACTTTTGTAACGAGGGCTTTCTGCACTGCAGCCCTACTATAATATCCCTCTGTATGTAATTGTCAAGGACTGTTCTTGCTCGTAGTCTGATCACGTCCTGCATTGATGCACTCTGTCTACTAAGAGTTACTCTTCTGTTTTCCCTTACATATCACACTAATGCACAAGCAAGCATGATCAAATTGCAGATGTGACTTTATTTGCTGTTCCTATTCAAACACCAGCCAAATGAACAGTCTTTGTGACTAAAGCTCCTGCCATCTGTGCCCCGATAATGAACCCTCTTTCAGACTCACTCTGATGTTTTCTTTTTGCCATCTTGATCCTACATCAGAATGAACTGCTCAGCATTTCTATACATCCCACTAACTGTACCTATATGGAAACACCTGCATTAGCTGTGTGTTGTACCAATTCTATATTATCAGCTTTGCAATTTAAATGGTTAAGGTGCATTTGTCTTTGTTTTAATTAAATTCTTCCACATGTGAGTTCATTTGAATTAATTGTAAATCAGTTTTACATCAGTGACAGAAACTGTTCTGCTGGGTCTGCCCACTGCTGCATTTGCATGTCCTGGCAGAGATCAAAAGACATCGTGCGTGACTCATTGTAACTGGGGTCTGGCGCGTGCACGTGTGTGCATTTGTACATTTTCAAGAGGTGCCCCCTTTCATATGTGCGTGAGTGCATGCAGGCATCTCTCTGGTTGGCAGTTTAGCAGCTCTGGTTTCAGCCGGGTTGTCGATAGGTCAGAGTGACCTTTGAGAGCTCAGGGACCCCGACACTGATATCAAGTTGTGTTGTTTCAGACAGGCACCCGCCATAAGAGCTCTTAATTAGTTCCCCAGACACCACAGACATTTAGTCAATATATGACCACAGAGAGGAGGAGGCTGGAAGTAAATCTAATCGGAAACCTTTTAGCACTCTTATTTCCAGGGATTCTTCTTTTTTTTTTTCAAGAATAAATCATAGTAACTCATACACCAAGCAACTCTAAAGCAGTTATGTAACATGAAATCTGATTGTATCTATTAGCATTAGATTTCTCAATGAATCTGATAAAAGAATACCCAGCTTCATCCTTTACACATGTGGCTGTCTGCAGCAGAAACATCTGTGTTAGAGAAAATGACTCAGCCGCAGTAATTACTCTTTAAATATTCTGCATTTAAAGACCTTGAAGCAGACAAAAGGCCCCACAACTCTGTCTCATATAATATTAAACATGTGCATGATCTCACTGTCCTGACACAACAGGACAGCTTTGAGGATGAAAGCGTATAGCTGGCCGACAGGGGATTTTGCATTACGTATCTGTTTGGAAGTCACAGCTTGACAGCGTGACCATCTGTTTGTGCATTTTCGTAAAAATGAAAGTCATGGTCACTGTGGAAATAAACTTACATAGTCAAATTCAGGATAAAGGTCTGCTTATTTGATGATCACAGTGAAATCATTGTTTGAGTAACGGCACCATGGTAACAGGAAATGAAAACAATAATAACCTTGAGGCAACAGCATGTTTTGGACACTTCTATTTGGTGTGATGGGGGTGCTATTAATAGAGCAAATCTACCACAACAATTAGATTATACCTTTACCATAATGTGCAATACAGTCAGCAATATGCAAGCAAGTTAGCAAGTCAAGTAAACATGTAACATTTACTAACATATCAACTTTTTAATCATTAACTTTTCATAAATGTGTATAAATGTAATCACTAATCCACAAGTAAGCAGTGAGTTTCAGAGTTGTCCTAAAAATGTTTAATTCTACTACTATTGATTGCTTTATAGTAGGTCAGAAATCAAGTTACAAACCTGCAGCTAAAACCATTTGAGCTGACCTAAACAATTTATTGATGATCATAACGATAATCTGTCAAGCTCTGGCTCTGATATGCTGCTACTTTGATAATGACCTCTAACAGAGAGTTTATGGCCACACACAGAGCCTCAGACAACCTCATTGATCGCTGAATAGCAGCTGTGTTTAACCTCAGATCATATACATCATTTTGGTATGTTTACCGCTCGCTGATCATCATGTGTGTAGCAGAGGATGCATCCTTTTTTTTTAATCTAATCTGCCTCGTTGCCTGATGAAAATGAAAGCCTAAAGGTCAGAAATGTGACGCTGGGCTCATGAATAGAACAGCGTGACTCAGATTCTGCAGTTTGTAATTATATGCAGGGGTGTGATGAATTGTAAGGGTTGTGCAATTACGGCTGACTTTGTGCAGAACTTGTTGTGTGGTTGTGTCTGAGGGGGAGACAGACTGTGATATATTAACTATACCTGAGAGCCAATCTGAGCTGCTCTGCTGGCCTATATATGCGGTATAGTATGTGGCTCCCCCTCTTTGACCTGCTTTCCCTTTCATATATATCAGATACCAGAATAAACTGAATATCTGATCTCATATTATGACACATGCTGTAGTTTTATTAATGAATGAACATGTTTTTTTTTTAAAAAAATGATTATTAAACTCTAAATTCTAACTTACTTAAGGGTTGTACAGCTTGCAGTCAACTATTTGGCTGCGTTAATACAGCTAATTTGAATTTCTAAGTAAATAATTACTTAAATAAACAGAGTCTGTCAGAGATATTCAATTTCTCAGAGCGTCGTGCCACTGATCATTTCACCTGTTCAGTCAAGCGAACAGAGCTTAGCAAACCGGGCAGAAGAAAGTAACACATTCCCGGGGGAACGACATTTTGTCTTTTCATCAAAAAACAGCAAAATAAATATGAGTATTTTCTAGCATTACATTTAAATGTGTGTTTCATAAGAGAAATAGTGGTTTTAAATCGGCGTCACGGGGGATAATAAACTGTGAACATCCCTGTGTGAGCACACCGGGCTTCCTCCACCCCCTCCGTTTCCCCTAGAATGGTGCGCTCCGCCGCTGCAGGTCTGACTCGGGCAGCCACATCATTATCTGCCCGGAGGATCCGCGCCTGAGCGGAGGACCGAGCGCCGGCGTACGTCTGCGTAGCGGCCGGTTGACGGCTCTGAAATGAACGGACAGTCTTTCCGTCGGAGACACACACACACCGGCGGAAGAGCCAGAGGATCGTCCCGGGACGCGTGTTGCCGCTCCGTGTCCGCGTGCGGACCGGTGGATTATCGGTTCCTCCCTCCTCATGATGAGCCCGGCGGCGCGCGGTGCGGCTCGCGTGTCCGTGACAGCCGAGTGATGGTGCAGAGGCGCGTGCGGCGGTGTTGGAAAAAATGCGAAAGGAGGGTTTGGTGACATTTTACACGTTAATACGGCGTCAGAGTGAAGGGACTTAACATGAGCAGTGTGCGCCATATTCCTAGTGCACCTGCTCCTCCAGCAAATGATCCGGAGCTGATGGACACCTTCATTTATAGTCACATTATCTATTGATCTGCTTTAATCGCCTGGTTTTCTGTCCTGCCAAGAACCACAAGTGCAACCACCCTCTACTGCTCCTCCTTCTACCTCATCTCACTTAATTTATTGCCATTGTGTTGTCACGAGGAGCATCACACAGGTCATTTTATTGTGATCTGTGTTTACTCTGATACAGCTGGACATTTTTTTTTGGTTGCTTATTGCTATGGGATCAAATTCACTATAAGGATCCAGGTATTCTCAGCTCCTCATGTTAGAGTCAGTAATACATTCTGCCACTCCTTGATAATTAAAAGCCTGGTGGAATGCTTGATCTGAAGATGAAGGAGGCGTGTCGCATCTGTGGACGGGAGCTCTGCGGTAACCAGAGGCGATGGATCTTCCACCCCACTGCCAAGCTCAATCTGCAGGTGCTGCTGTCTCACGCTCTGGGGCAAGAGCTGACCCGAGATGGCAGAGGAGAGTTCGCCTGCTCCAAGTGCACCTTCATGCTGGATCGCATGTACCGCTTCGACACGGTCATCGCCCGTGTGGAGGCCCTATCCATCGAAAGGTTGCAGAGGCTCCTGCAGGAGAAACATCGGCTGAGGCAGTGTATCGGTGGGCTGTACCGGAAAACAAATTCAGAGGAGGGTGCCGTAACAATAGCCGGACCTAATGAAAGGCAGGGAGACGGGATGGTGGATATTTCAGGCCTAACCCATGCCAAGTACTGTGCTCTGCTCCAGGATGATCTGGTCTACTCTTTGTATGAGTCTTGGGCAGAAGATGGCCTGGACTGCCAACATCACCACCACCCTCAGTGTCCTGCTGGTCCAGGGTCAGAGGTCACGGGCTCACACCGCTGTGCACCCAGCACTCCCAGGAGGTGTCGGGGATGTTCCCACTGGCGGGTGGCAGACTCAGACTACGAAGCTGTCTGTAAGGTGCCCAGAAAGTTGGCACGGAGCATCTCTTGTGGGCCATCAACCAGATATTCAGCCAGTGTCATTGGAGGGAGTGTGATTGGAGGTGGTGGAGAACGAGAGAGAAAACATGTGGAAGATTCAGAAGAAGCCCCCTCCTCTTTAACGCTGGTCCCTGGATCTCAGGACCCATCGAGGACATCCGACAGTGATCGCACTCTGGCTGGACGAGCTAGTTCCAGCCCCTCTGTAGCATCCTTGGAGGAATACACGCAGCCTGGAGCTATAACAGATGGACCGCTGAGCCCCCACCGGGAAGCAATAGAAGACCAGATATCTGACTCCCTCTCTGAGGAGCACATTGGAACCCCACATGGCCAAGCCTCGCCTGGAACAAGCCTCTCTCTGGCTCTCTGTTTGCTGCAAAGCTACGCTGTCTACAGACCGGTCCGGTGCACCAAGGGGAGCAAGCTGCCAGTCTTGCACCGACAGAGCTCCCGTAACGGAGGCTCGAGGCTGGCCTTCCCTGATCCTGTTCTGGGACTGTCTTACGGGACTCCAGACATAGAAAGAGACAATCACATGCCAACACCTGAGCTGGAGACCCCTCTGATCAGGCTGGATGTTGGCATGGATCCCGATCTGAACATGACTGACATGGTGGATTTTTTGGAAGATTTGTACAAAGAGTATCCTCCCCCACCTCCCCACCAGGTATAAGACCTTGATGAGAGTGTTTCACTACTGCAGGATGATGTGACTCAGTGCAGTAGTGCATTTTGCAGCATCTGCAGCACCCTGAGTAAACCAGCCCAACAGCCTCTGATGTTTGACAGTGAAGGCTGCCCACAAAACGATTACTCTCACCACTTTTTTTTAAGCTCAGCTAGCCACATAATCCAGCTGTCAGTCACTTATATTCTGCCCACAGTCGCTCTCACTAGCTTTTACCTACCAGAATTTGAGCTACAGCGGTGTGGAGATATTGTACATTAGAAGAGCAGTCAGGTGTGCATAAGCGGTGGCACACGACATGGCCTAATTACCTAGTGAGTGCGCGTGAGTCTCCACACACAAAGAGCTCATTAGTAATGTCAATAAAGCCGACAGCAAAGCGTGAGAGCACGGTTGTTGTTTTTAAACATAGTAACTGTAAATGTCTTAATATATTCAACAGATCAACGGTTAATGTGACATTTCAAATCTAAATCATTGGTTTTAGACTAATATTGGAGGAAGCTGAGGATTTACAGCATTAGAGCTGCTAAACACTCAGAAGCCGTCAGACAGATGAGTCTTCCAGTTTCTCCAGTGTTGTGCACACGATTTACTGCTCCATTATGTAAGGTCAAGTGTAGGTTTGTAATATTACTGATCCTCTGCAATACTTCGTGGAGGTATTTCTCTCTGAATAAGATATTTTTCCATAATAAGAGCGTGTGATCTTTGGGCACGGACTGCTGACTGAAGTAGGTTAGATGTGGGGAGATATTAAGACAGAGTGACTCTACTACTGGCCTATTTTCACTCAGAGCCCTTGAGGCAAAGTGATCCACGCAATGTCAGACCACCCTGTCATCTCAGCACTGGTTGGCTACTACAGTAACACTATTTAATGATATGTTCACTTTATAAATCCAATCTGATAAAAAAAGAGTGCACTAGCAAACGCATTTTCTTCTAGTTAGTGAAAGTTGGAAGCATTCGTATGCTGGTTATGTAAAGATAACCGGAGCACAGAGCACTTTAGCACACTCACTCATGCATACAGATGCTCACAGCTCTTTCCTCCTCATAGCTTTTTACAAATTACACACATGAATGAGCACATGTTGTATATTTTGTACACATGGAGTATTACGCAATCCACTATGCCGCCCACATCCTCTGCACTTTTCATGAATTTAAGACAACAAAAATAAGTCACAAATAATTTAGTTGCTGGATTTGCTCAGGAGAGTAAGCAGAGGTTGAAAAGTTGAATCTCACGTTTTGCTTTATTTTTTATTTCTTACAGAGCCTCGTCGAGGAGCAGCAGAGTCAACTCAACCAGTATGAGTGTGCGGCCGGGCAGTGTGTCAGCGAGCTGCAGAAGGCCCAGCTTCAGGTCCAATCCTTGCAGGCCAAAATCCACGAGAGCGAGGCCAACAATATGGTAAATACGCCTCAGTACAGCTGGCTAACTTTCTAATTGTGCATTTAAGGCCCGATACCAGTCTATCATCCCTGTCTCCCGCTGTAGAAGCTGCAGGAGAAGCTGAACGAGATGGAGTGTGAGCTGCGTTCACTCCGCGAGGCTGCTCAGAGCCAGGAAAGAACCATTCAGGGCCTCTCTGAGTCCATCAGCACCAAAGACAGCGAGGTGTGTGTTTGTTGGGTGCTAAGTAGCAGATGAGCCAGCAACAATGTGAGATGATATCGGAACCTGTTGTAAATGTGCTGATGTCTTATAATTCATTCTGCTCTAAGGCCCAGGAGCTGTACCAGCTGATTGAAGGGCAGAACACCACGCTGTGTAAGCTGCAAGAATTGGCCCATCGCAACCAGCTTTCTCAGTGCAAGGTGAGACCTGGTGGACACAGTACCGGTGGAAACCCTGATCCACAATCATTTCTTATCAGTAGAGAGAAATCTTGTGTTCAAGGTGAAGACATGCTGTCTGTCTGACCTTGGTCTTTGGTCATTCCTTCTCCAGCCTCCAGTGGGAGTGAGTGAGTCCTTGACACTCGCTCAGCTGCAAGGCGAGCTGGTGGCGGTGCAGAGCTCCCTGTTTTCCCTCGGTCTGGAGCTGGAGTCCAGCCAGAGGAGTCTGAGACAGAGCCAGAGACAAGGAGACGACCTGTTGAGGTTTAAGGACCGGCTCAACTCTGATCTGCAGGAGGCACTACAGCACAGGGAGGTCACTGAAAAACACAACCAGGTTAGTTAGCCTAGTCATGAATGTGTGAGCAGACCAAACGGTTGAAAGAAGTCTTTGAAGGATGGAGGAGGCTGCATGTGTAACCTCTCCTCTCTCTGCTGCAGGACCTGCGCTGTGCCCTTCAGAAAATCCGCTCTGAGCTTCAGGCTAAAGAAGCAGCTCTGAAGGAGAGCGAAGCAGAGAGACACACTGTGGTGCAGGAAAAAGACAGCAGCATCACACAGCTCAAACGCTCTCTGCAGGACAAGGAGCAGCAGTTAGAGGTAACAAACACAACACCACACACTTTGCATATATACATACAGATATACATACATGCACAGACTTCTCAACTTGTCTGAAAATGTCCATATTTGTAGGAGTACTCAGAGATGTTGGAATCAGCCGGAAGCTCCAAACCGAGAGATGCCCTGCTGGAGAAACTAAGGGAGCGTATTAAAGATCGAGACAGAGCCCTGGAGGTAAAACACAAACACTATACATTCGTGTACACACCAGGAAGTCATGGCAGCTTGGAACAAAACTCCCAAAATACTCTTGATACTGAAAACGTTGTATCTCAGCCACTGCACCACCTGCGTCACTGTGATTCATGGGACAGTACAAACTGCAGTACATTGTGTGCAGGAATAATAGAGAGGCTTTTCATCACAAAAGAGCTAACTGTGCATCTTATAGCAGTAAAGGGCCAGTGATACACAATAATGCAAACTCCTCATAAACCAGTAAGTCAGCATACAGTAAAATTTCACCACCATAATAGAAAACAACATGGGAGTTGCTGCAGTACTGAGTACTTATTTTCCAGTAGCTATTTAAAACAAACAAAAAAAAAATGCTAACCATGAAAAGGATATGTTAATTTAACTGATGCTGATTTCATCCTTTATTTTGGTCATAATGAACCGAACACTGCACATCTCCATTTATGCTGTTGAGAACATGATGTACGTCACAGCTGAGTTTGCCTTTAAGTGTGATTTCCTGCCTCTCTGCTGCCCACAGCGCTCCATTGATGACAAGTTCCGCTGTCTGGAGGATCGTGAGGGCCAGGTGAGGAGGCTGCAGCTGGCGCTGAGGGAAAAGGAGCGAGACCTGGAGAGACTCCGCTGCATCCTGTCCAACAACGAGGAGACCATCACGGTACGCTCATTTTACACCTATTAGAAATGCCAGTCTGTGAAATACGTTTGTTTGAGAAGGAAAGACCAGATAAGAGTCATGTTGTTACCCAGATCTGGTTAGTAATAGACAGGTGGTGTGATTGGTGTATCTTGTTAACATGTGACACTCATAGCAAATAAGGTATTATATTTGTCCTGTTGGTTACACCTGTGATCATGACCATCAGAGCCTGGATGCTTTGGGCCGAGGCAAAGAGCTGGAGCTGGAGCAGGCAGCAGAGGCCTACAGGAACCTCCAGTGGCTGAAGCAGCAGAGTGAGGAGAAGGAGAGAAGCACTCTGAGAGAGAAAGACGCCATCATTAACCAGCTCCAGGCAGCTCTGCAGACACGCAGCCAGGAGACACAGGTAACACACACATGCATAGAATACATAGACCTCTCTTTGCATGGCTCCCAGTGAAAGGCCGTGCCCATGTAGGCTAACCTGTGTTACTTGTTTCACAAATACAACAGGTGCGCTGACACTGCTCTTTCTGCTTGTCTCATAATTTGTTTGTGCGTGCAGGACCTGACAGCCGCCCTTGTTGCCAGAGTTCAGGCCAGTCCATCTGAGGTCGTGGAGGAGCTGAAGGCTCGACTGGCTCTCAAAGAGAAGCTCTTCCAGGAGCTGTTGTCGGACCGCAGCCGCCAGTCTAGTGAACACCAAGCACAGATCCACGATCTGCTCAACACGCTCACCTCCAAAGATCAGTATCTGCAGGTAGGGCTTGTTGCTGGCGATCAATATGAAGTGTATCTAATAGCTGATAGATTTGTGCACAACCAAATGCCTTCAACTTTTTCGCTCTTTCCCTGTCAGGATTACTCCTACAGGCTTTCCTTAGTAATTAGTGAGCGGACAGGACAGCTGCAGGAGCTCCGCAGACAGCTGTCACTGAAAGAGCAGGAACTGAGTGACCTGAGACGAGACAAGGAGAGAGAGACGGAAGGAGAGGCCGAGAACCTGCGAAGCCTGCTCAAAGAGAAAGAAGCGTTTATCAAGGTAGCTGGCTGTCCATATCTTTTGGCCTTTTTGACTTTCTGTCTCCTGTCACCTGATCTTCATATTATACTGTGTCACTGTATCAGGAGCTGATGCAGGCCCAAGAAGAGGCCATGCAGCCGCTTTCAAAGGAGGATGAGGCAGAGATGAAGGCTCTGAAGGAGGAGATGCAGCTGGTCCTTAAGAAAGAGATAGAGGCTCAGGTATCTGTGTTGACCTTGAGATAATACAAAACAAACAGTCCTTATTTTTTAATCTCTTAAGTCATACACTTCTGTCCTCTCCCTGCAGAAGGAGATCTCTGCTCTGCGTTTATCTTTAGCTCAGTCGGAGGGAGTTGCCAAAAGCGACAGCACTGATTACCAAGTAGGGTTTCGCTTCATTCTGAGTCAGTGAGACAGTATTTTGGCTGTGTCGTGCTTAACAATTATTCGTTTTATGTATATCTTTCTTTTCTTCTCAACCCTGCCTGCGACTGTGCTGCTAGTGTGTGCTGGAGCAGCTGGTGTCAGAGTACAACAAGCTGAATGAGGCCCTGAGGGCAGAGAAGAGATTATACCAAAATCTCACGCACATTCACAAGAGTGACAGGTAGGAAAGCTGCACCCACGGCTTTTGTACAGCCCAGACTGATGTGAATACACTTAGGTGCAGGTTTTTATGTGTATGCAAAAGAACCACATTTGTTCTCCTCTTTTTGATTTTGCAGCAGCTCCGAGAAGATCCAGGCTCTCCACACTGAGCTAGATTCGGTTCAGGCACTCCGCGGGCAGCTGGAGGAGGTCCTGGCCAGGACCCGCAACATGACCGTGGTGTTGGAAAGGGCAGCTAAAAGGCAGCCTGACTTTGGAGGTGGGAATGGGCAGGGTCCAGCCTCCAAGGCTGCAAGCAGCACTTGTCACTAACGCTCCTTGATGCTCTGTCTGACCATAGCACTACTGAGTGACACTGACACTCTTGATGTGAGATGAAGCTGTCTGTAACCACTAATGGTCAGGTTTATGACAAATTAAGGTCCTAAAGTGCATCTGATGAGATTTAGTCCACTAGAAGTGTGAACACAAACTGAAATCTGACCTTCATCCTGCAGGCAGCTTTGTCCAGATAGCACAAGCACTACTCACATAGCAGAGGCGTGTTCAGAGTAACCTTAATGGTATGAAGTGGAAATGTGCAACTCAGAGTTTTATTTATTCCTATATTTTATGAGTGTGGTGTGAATAAGTTTTTATCTTGTTTTTGAAAACTGCTTGCGTATTGCTTTGTAGTTTGATTGTTCTGTATTGCCATTTCTGTGTACTGTCTCTCACCAGTGTCACTCTTCCAGCCTTACTGTCACAGTGAAGTTACGTCTTGTGGAGAAACTCGAGCTCATGCCTTACAGTGAAACGTCTCACCATCCATCATTTGTTTTATATCATCTGTTCGTCAACAGGATGTACATACTTAACAAAAGGCCCAACATACAGGTTTAAAAAGACGGCCAAGTACTTTCCTTCAGTTCAGTGTTAACCTTGAGCTTCAGCCTTTATACGCAGCTTTATGATGTGAACCTGTTCTGCTCTAGTGTTAGTTTATCAGATATGCATGAAACAGAAGCTGAGCCACAGTAAATATATACTGGTAGGTGCGCGCTGTTTACTTTAAGTAACGCTATGCTGATTTAGTATAATATGCAGAATTTTTTGTGTACCTGCTTGTAAGTTCAGCAGGAAAATATAATATCGAGCAGTTTTGCAGTCTGCACAGTACTCTCTATCAATAACAGGAGATGTGAATGCCAGAAATAATACTTGCCCATTAAATATTTATGTTAGGTAGAGTACATTTTCTAGGGATTTGTGCCCCGATCTTTCACCTAGCCTCAAAGATGGAATCGTTGTCAACATTTCTTTTTTTTTTTTTGTATTTTAAATGCATCACAAATAAACATGTGCTTGTCAAAAGCACTTCTGGTATGGATTTCTCTTTATTGTGTTTAATTGGGAATTTTGTTTTTTTAATAATGTCCCAAACCTGAAATTCCCCACTTGGTCCCTTATATATCAACCCACAGTGTGTTTTATCTATCTGAGCCATTACCAGCCTCCTGAGTTTGTCCTGTTTGTCTTAATGTGCAACTGTATAAGAACACATATTATAAATGTGTTGAAATGCCACAAACTTAAATGTGAAAAACATGTAAACATCAGCATCAGACAACACTGTGTACCACAAGACACATCCAGTCCAAAGGAGTTTATCTTCACGTCCTCGCTCTCTCATGCATGAGATTGTGGCATGATTTTCATGTTTGCATGGCTGTTCTGCTGCAGTGCCCAGTTAGATATTCACAACTCACCAAATAAGGAAGTTTGTGTGACCTTTCACTCAATATCCTAAATATTTTTGAAGACACAACATCTATGTTTTAGTAAAAAAAAAAAAGCATCTAACAAAACACAGTTTCAAGAAATGCCTCTTTCTACATGTCCCAAGTTTAAGTGGTGACACTATGTAGAGCCACAGAGTGTAAACAGGGCCCCTCATTCACCAGTTCAGCTTACAGAGCACATTGTTCAATCAATAATAGCCCGACGGTTTCGCTCCATGAATTTCCTGCCCTCTCTCTCTAGCAGCACAAAGACATTAAGTATATTTAACTTTCATACTTGGGTGGAGACATTTCAGTAATTAGTTGCCATTGAACTTTCCCTTATGATGATATAATCCTATAAGTAATCTCAGCAATGCAGTGAGGAGCTGCAGCTCCACACCCACGGCTCTGCACATACATGTGTGTCTGCTGTGTGTCATTAGGGCCTGTTATGTAAAAGAATTTCCCTTTAAAATTCCACCGAGCCTCTAGTTTCTGCAAACCAACATCTATTTATGTGTTCCTCTGTTGGTCTGTGTGCAAATTATACTCTAGCCACACAAAACAAAGACATGATATATATAGCATATATCGTACACAGTCGCCACTATCTTCTTTAATGTGTGTGAATATTAATTACCCAGGATCCATTGTGACCTTTAAAGTTCTCGCATATGCACATTCATAGTGGGCTGCACCAGCTTGAGTGTGTTTTTGGCTGCCAGGCTCTGTATGACATAACATTTCCCCTCAGTCCCATGACTGCCAAAGTGGTGATTCAGTGTAGAGGCAGAACTATGGAAAGAGTAGGATATAGAGTGGACGCTAGGGAGGGAGAGACGTATAAAGTACAAGAGTAAGAAGACTTAACGGCTTACGATTTAAAGAAAAGAACTTAAGTGAGTGGACACTGACCTTAAATGGTTATTGTGCTTCCAGAGCTCAGCACAGAGGAGGAGGAAGAGGAGGGAGATGATGAAGATGGCAGCAGTGACGAGTTCACGGACAGCATAGAGGAGGATGACGACAACGTGACTGCCAGAAGTTTGACCTCTGTTCAGGTAAAAATACGACTTATACTAACATTTCATTCTTGTGTTAGTTTAAATTCAAGCAGTTTTGGACCATAAAGAGCATTTTCCAAAACCCAATGACTTAAATAGTAAGAAAAAATAAACGTTTCCTCTGACTTTTCAGGCGTCTATGAAGGCTCGTGGACCTAATGGTGCGACTGGAGGACTGGGGAGGAGGCTCCTGTCCCAGAGAGTTGATGTAAAGCAGCTTGAAGAAGCAAAGAAGACACTTGAAGTTGAGCTTGAAGAAGTGAAGTCACAGCTGGAGAGGGATGGATACACCTCCGTGGCTCAGATGAGGTGCATATATACAACATATAGGAAACGTATTTTACCTCTTGTGTGGCTGTCGTTGCATTCAGCATTATTCCCTATTTGCCTTCAGGAGTGTCCTGCAGAGGCTGCAGCAGGAGAACCAGGCTTTAAAAGAAAAGCAGGAAGAAAACCGGCGAGAAGAGGAAGAATATGAAGAGGAGGAGGAGGAGGAAGAAGAGGAGGGTATTGAGGAAGAAGATGAGGAAGTGGAAACATCTCCAATGCCAGCGGGGAAGCGAGGTCATCCGTGCGTTAGTCTGAGCGAGGAGTCGGGGAAGAGGCACTGCACGAGGCCGGACTCGCTGGATCTGGGCACACGAACAACATCACATCTTCGCACACACCAGCTTCAGACGGTAAAACATTCTACGTTTATGTTCAAGTCAATATTCAGACAAAGTTGTAAAGGGAATAAATGAGCAGACGGTGGATAGATGGTGATAGAGAGGGTACTCAAGTTGTTTACTGCGGTGGAAGAGACATAACAATGGGATGGAAAAAATGTGTTAAACCTCCTAATTAAATTCCTGACAGACAGTTGAAGTTGTAAATGTAGTGGCACTTCAGTAGTTGTGTACTTTTTAAAAACTGAACACAAACAAATTGTATTACATTGTCAGTAATCCAGGTTTCTGCTGTGTTGAATAGTTTATGAAAGAACAACATTTTTGAGCTCACATTTTGTATATAAAAAGAAGCAGTTGTTCTTTGTCCTACAAGGCGGTTTGTTGATTTGTTCTCTGAATGTTATCTCAGTTAAAAACCTCTGTGTGCTGTATTAAAGCAGCTTCGCCTGCAGGACCAGCTCTTCTCATCACTGTGCTCTTCATTTAAAGTCTCCATGTACGGCTGTTTCGTCCTCTTTGTCTCGTGGTTGTTGATATAAATACCTCAATCGTGCGCCTGGTTTTCCACATTACAACATTTGTGCAAAGTTAATCCTTGTGAAATAAAACACGAGCTCCTCTAGTTTAGGATATGTTCATGATACACCTGTGAAACCCTCCCTTTGTGCTCCACTGTTACAGGAGGTGGGACCTGCTGGTGCCAGCGCTGAGGTGGGAGCGCTGTGGCAGGATATAGAGGAGGGTCTCCGTGAACAGGCGACTCGTCTTCGCTCCGATCTGGCTCTGAGCCACCAGGAGAACCGAGAGCTGCAGGAGAGGCTGATGGTGTCGGAGGCCACGGTCCACGCTCAGGCTGAACAGCTGAAGGACTACAGAGACCTGCTCAGTGAGTCGCTTCAGGAAGGCTGACACCTAATTAGACATGTGAACCAAAAAGTGCTGATTATGCATGCAAGGTACATGACTGAAGAAACTTCTGTCTGGTGTCCCTGCAGCGGAGACATCTGTCCAGCAGGCCAGTAAGCAGGTGCAGGTGGATCTGCAGGATCTGGGTTATGAGACTTGTGGCCGCAGCGAGAACGAAGCTGAGAGAGAAGACACCAGCAGCCCAGGTGATAAACAGATTTATCAAAACAGACTGTATTATTTCTTTCCAAAAAAAAAGACTCAATAATCTTTAATTAATCATGTATCAATATGTCCTCTTCTGTCCCTCTCTCAGAGTTTGACGACTTGGAGATGTGCACCTCACTGTCCCATCAACAGGACTGTGAGGCCGGTGGTTGGTACGCTGGAAACGGTAACAGAGGTGCTTATGAAATGGGGGATGAGTCAGCTTCTCTCCAGCATCTGGTCCAGGATCTCCGCTCACAGCTGACCCGCTGCCACAAAGTGATCCGTGGACTGCAGCTACGCGTCCGCTCTTTGTCCACCACCAGCGACTACGCTTCCAGCCTGGAGCGCACGCCACGCAAGGTACCGACTAACTATTGCATCACCTGCTGTCCCCTTTTGTGCTATTTTAGATACAGAGCAGTGCCCATTCTGGAGGTTTTTCTTTTTATCTTCACCCTTTAGGTAAACTGGGCGTTTGAGAGATCACCAGCTGCCAGTGGTGTGGAGGAGGATGAAGGTTGGATGTCTGACAGCCAAGGGATTCGCTCAGGGTCTAAGCCTAGCAGGGAGCTGAAAGAACTGATGGAACGAGTTGCGTCACTGGAGGCTCAGTTGAAGAGCACCAGGCTGGAGGGCAAAGGCCAAGCCGAAGAGGGGAAATGTGCCACCTGGCCCGGGTGAGTGCACGGAGAAAGCTGCTACTCCTTGTTTATTACTCCTGAAGCTTCGATAATTCCTGTCATCCTCTCAGGAATTTTATCTAGAATCAGTCAACAGATACACACAAGAGCTGTTTATCATATGACTCAAAGCCTTTAGTCCTCAGAAAACATGACACAATATCAACAACTACAACTCCCTGTGGCTGCTCTTCGTCCTCCCTCTCTAGGAAGTACAACACTCTGATCCAGGCACAAGCTCGTGAGCTGTCCCACCTGAGGCAGAGGATGAGAGAGGGCCAAGGAGTCTGTCACATCCTGACCCAACACCTGGGCGATACCACCAAGGTGCTGCAAACACGTCTGCACTCGTTCACTTTCCAATTCAGTGATATTTCACCTGAAGCTTTATGGTTCATATTCTCATACTTCTCAATGACTTTCAGGCTTTCGAGGAGCTTCTGCGGGCCAATGATATCGATTACTACATGGGGCAGAGCTTCAGAGAACAGCTGGCACAGAGCACCGCCCTGGCACAGAGAGTCGTCACCAAGATTAGCGGCCGTAAGGAACATCTTCGCATCACAGTCAAGCACACAGAAAGTGACTTCGCCTTTTCAGTATGTCACGTTATTTTTGTTCTCTAATGTATTTCCCCCTTCTTCTTCCTTTTTTTTTTTTTTAAATTTCCTTAGGAGAACGTGCCCAGAGCCACGATGACAAGACAGGCCATGAGCTGCTTGCCTTAAGGTGAGTCAGTTGCGTGTGTGAATGTACATTTAAAACACAGCATTTTTACCACAACTTACGATGCAAGCAAGGTATGCAAAATGGCAACCTCCCTGCATACAGATAGTAAATGCACCTTTAGCTTTGATTTGCACTGGCTATGCAGAGTTCACTGTAGCTTCAACTGTAATATATCAGTCTAATCACGGACGATGCCTTCGTCAGCTGAGCATTTATATCAGTTTACAGATGACGAGTACAGATTCTGAACTGCAACTAATTTATAATCTCCCTCACGAGTTTCCAACAAAGCACACATTTAACACCAGATGGCAACATTCAAACCTCATCAACAAAAGACTGCAGTGTCACACACGGCATTGTGATCTGAGGACCCTCCTGGTGAGTTATTAGCTCACTTTGCACACTCTGTCCTTTAATTAGTTTATTCTGTCACGTGACCCGCCGCAGCATGCGAGGAGCCGTCCACATGTCTGCTTACGGTGGACAGGAGACAGAAGGTTGCTGTTAATCCACACACAGGCCACCGCATAGATCATTTAAGTCGCTTTAGCTAAATAGACAACTTGCAGGTGTCCTGCCAGGCAGACTTAAGACTCTCAGCAATACTGTTTTCTTTCACTGTTGCTGCCTCGTTCAGTCGTACCCCTGCTGAGCAGCAGACTGTTTCTGTTGGATTTATTTAAAATCACTTACTCGTGGTTTTCTTTTATTTTGACATCTGTTCTTACTGATATTTTTTTTCGTTTTAAATTCACTGTTTAATGGCTCGTTAGAATATTTTGGCGAAGTAGAGGAAGAACAGAAGATACTAGAGAATCTTTCGCTGGATTTTCTCCCTGTAGATTTAAGCTTACGTTGCTCAGGCTGCAGTTCATCAAGGTCTGTGTTGTCTGGAGTGGACTGATTCTCAGATGGCTCCTCTGTGGAAAGCTATGATATCTAAGAACAGTTCCATATACAGGGACTCTCTGTGGTCTTTTTCTACCGCTCGAGGTCAAGCGAGAGAGCAAGGCTTTTTAAAAATGCTGCTGGAGAGAGACAGGGAGTTCCTGCTTCGACAGCTGAAACAGTAAGAGACGTGCATGCATGTAGTTCCTCAGGCATATAAACCCTTTAACATTCAGCTTTCCCTTCTGTTTTCCCCTTAAGCAGCTTTAAATAGTCTTCACTCAGTATTCAAACCTACTTTTTATTCTTCCAAATGTTTGTACATCATTCTGCCAGAACTGGAACCTCCTCTACAATTTAGATTTTATAGACGTTTGAAGATAGTTGCAGACTGCACAATGGGAGGTTTGCTTAAAATCATCAAAAAAGACTAATGAGATGGAAAGTCCTGTTTTATTTTAAAAACTGCTAATTATGGACATGTACTATTCCTAATTGTTCATTGGAAAAAGGACAACATATATGTTCATTTGAATACCAGAAATTGCAGCTGGTTTCCCTTCTTCTACCTTTCCTAAATTTCTTGCCATTATTTTTAGGGCTTTGCTTATTTACTTACTCCAAAGTTGTTTTTGGTGTTGATTAATCTTGTAAATTCTTTCTTTATTAATCACTTTGTTTATTAAAGGCCAGAAAATAGTGAGAAAAAAAAAGTCCTGTCTGGTTTCCCGCAACCCAAGATGACATCTTGTCTAAAAATCTAAAAAAAAAAAGAGAGAGAGAGAAAAAAAAAGCTGAAACCAACTAATTTCTTATTAGTTTTTTCCTCTAAAAATTCCAACCATTCTTATTCTTATTGTCATTCAGAATCAGACGTACTGATGAGAAAATGAGAAAATTGCTCATGGACGATACATGTAATTTAAGCATAAAATAGACCTTTGTCGTTAACTGTGCAAATGCAGAACTTTCATGGACCTGTTTCCTATTTCGTCAGCACCCATCAGGTCAGAATGTAATTCTTGATTCTCTTCCTTGTTTGCAGGTTGAGTAAGGAGCTGCAGCAGAAAGATAAAATCATCGAGTCGCTCCACACAAAGCTTCAGCAGCGTCCTGAGACCCCGTCCAGCTGCCACGCCCTCTCTGAGACTACCGACCAATCAGACAGGACCTCGCTGGTGTCTGACGAGTACCAGACCAATGAGGACTTGGAGCTGTGCTCGGACTTAGATGCCAGAGAATATCACGAGGAGCACCGGCTGCGGCAGACTGGACTTGGATCAGAACCAGATGGTATTGTTGCGTTTAATCTTTCTTTCTGTCTGTGAAATACGTCGTTCTATCCTTTCACCTTCCCATTCCCTTCTTCTAGTCCGTCCATTTATCCCTCCTCCTCCTCCTCATCATCGCTTCCTCAAGTCTTCCAGCAGTTGTCCCAACATGCTTTGCTCAGCCACTGTGTCTCTGACCAGTCAGTCCTCCAGAGGTATGGAGCCAACAGACGGCTTTGACTTGCAAAGTACTGGACAAAAATCCGTTTTTCTTTATTTCACTCCTCCTGTACGTGACACTTCCTGTCATTCTCCTCCAGCCCTTCTCAGTGCACCTGTCTCCTCCCTCTCTATCCCCTCTGGCCCTGACGTCTGGGGTTATGAAGTCACTTCTGACCCCCGGCCCAGGGCCCTGTCTGTGATCGCTGTTCGCCCAGAGCTGGACACGCTATACAAACAGATGAATGAGCAGAACAGGGGTGAGGGGCCAGGGAGTGTGCCATGTGTGGAAAAACAAAAAACTTGCCTGCTCTCATTTGTAAATTACATTCCTCTGTTGTCCCGTGAGTCACATCATGCTTGACGCGTCTCTTGTGTGTGTGGTTACAGGCTTCACGGTCCCACATGACAAGGCACTGTTCACTGTCTCACCTGGTGCCCACAACCAGCATGACCTCTCAAGCTACAGCCAGCTATCCCATCATGCCTTTCAACAATACCAGCTGGGTGGCATCCCTGAAGGCCACTCATTGCAGTCTGACTCAGGTCTGGTGACAGGAGGGCCTCTGTGGGACGTGGAAAACTTGGTTCAGCCGGTCGGAGGCTATTCTGGATCATCTGGGCATCAACCAGGAAGCAGCCAAGCAGGTAGGAAGTGAACTGTAGTGACATTTTAACAGCTAATAAGACTTGCTCACATATTTTGAGGACATGAACCACACTCTGTTGAAACAAGCAGTCACAGAAGATTCCATGAATATTATTGATTTACTGTTTATCTTTAGGGGTGAATTTGATAGAGGAGCACCTACGTGAGGTGAGGTGTCTCCGTCAGCGATTGGAGGAGTCCATTAGGACCAACGAGAGGCTCCGACAGCAGCTGGAAGAGAAACTGGCCACCACTGGGCGTGACGGAGGTAATACAGCCTTTTGCAATTGAGTTACACCTAGAAGCATCACTTCTTTCTCTCAAAGAAATGACATAATGATTTTTTTGTCCAGGGGCACCAACAAACATCTATATCCAGGGATTGGACACAGTCACCCAGCTGTCCAATGAGATCAGAGTCCTGAAAGAGGAAAACCTGGGTCTACAGTCACGACTGCAGGCCAGCACAGGTACTTCACCGTAAGGCCAGCAAACATTGAAGGGATTTTGAATCGGAGAATATTTACGTGAACTTTTTCAGTGTCTCCGTTTCCTTTAGACACAAACGAGGAGGTGGTGCAGCTGCGGGAGGCCGTCTTCGCAGCACGGGCCCGACTGAAGCAATCAGAGCTGGAGGCTGAGCAGTGGAAGGAGGAGCTCAGACGACTCCAGGCTCACAGTCAGGAACAGGGACAGCAGATTCACACGCTGAGGCAGGAGCGGCAGGCTGGTCAGGAGAAAATCAACAGGTTGGTGTGTTTGAATTGTGTGTATGCTCAGCTTGAAACCAATCATCACTGGCATGCAGACAGAAGATATTTACTCTCTGACTGTAATTAATTCTAATGTATGTGTGCATTGTCAGGCTCCAGCATGAGGTGTCTCTGCTGCAGCAGCAGCTGTGTGAGAGCAGAGAACTCATCCACTCTCTGCAGAGCGAGCTGCATGTTTATGATCGAGTGTGTTCCAGCACAAAGGCCAACAAAGGTCAGTCTGTTCACTGTCGAGTAGCTACGCCCAATGTGTCACCTTCTTTAAATAAAGAAAAAAACAGAATTTAAAGCAGCTATGTGCAGGGTTTCATGTGGAATTCTTTACTGTGGCGCCATCTGGTGGCAAATGAATGAAAAAACAAATGGGATAAACGTAAACAGATTTCTCAAATGATGCTTGAATGGCAAAATACAAAGTCCTGCAGCTCTATGGAAGCTGCACAACCATGGCTAGAAGTAGACCGAATGCTAATATAGCTGTTTGTGCAGTATACCAAATGTTATAATGCCATAAATCATACAAATATGAATGTTGATTTTTTTTGAAAATTATAAATCTGTATATGCACAACATTCTCCAAGTGTTCACAAGTGGTGCTCAACACTGAAAACAAATGGTGGCTCTACATGCTATAGATGTTAGCACTTACATTTTAAATTTGTTTCCATACTTACCTCCTATCTGCTCGGTTGTAAACACAGCCTGCAGTTCAGCCCAGTTTAGCCAGATAGTGCCTGACCACATGACTGTAGAGTAAACGGTTTATTTAAAAAAACTGTTTTAAATGTGACTTGTTGACTTTAATTAAATATCATGATGTCAGACTTAGGATGATAAGTTTTTCCAGGAGGACTGTGCATCACAGATGAGCAACAGAAAGTAAAAAATTTGATGATCCTTTCATTTTTTACAACTTCTGACTGATAAATGTTGTCACTTTGGCCATTTTTGTAAAGATATTATTCCTCTGAAACTTGCCAGCAAATTGTGGGATTCAGAAAGTTAATGCAAGTTGTGTTAGAAGCAGAATCTCCACACCTCACAGAGCACTGAAGCAGAGCTATGGCCAAAATTCTTCCAACGATTCTGTTTCTCACCTTCAGGGTATCTGTGCGAGGTCCCAGGTCTGCCAGTGGAGCTGGGCGAGCTGCTGGGGGAGGTGAGGAGTCTGCGGGCCCAGCTGCAGAACAGCGTCCAGGAGAACAGTGCCCTCAAACAGCTGGAGCTCCACAAACAGCTGGAACAGAAGCTGGGTGTCGGGTCGCCTCGGACACCGTCTCTCTCTGCCCTCACTGCCAGTCCTCAGAGAGAAAACTTCTACAGGCGACAGCTGCTTCATGGTGAGAGAGAAGCTTCTAAACAGCGCCGCCAAATGTTTCCGAGGCTCGGTGTGCTGTGGTTTGCCGTGTGTCCAAGCCTGGTTTGTGTATGTGTGTGTTCCACAGACCCAGCTCCGTCTCCACCCGTCAGGGACATTGGTCTGTTTAACTGTGGATCTCCTGGTCCTCCCTACTCAGATCTGGATGACAGCCATAGCACTGCCAATGGTGTGACTTTAACTGCTACTTCATTACTGCATCGTAATCTAACTTTAACTTGGAGAAAGAAATGCCTTTTAACAATAATAACAGCTTGTTTTGATTGTAATGTGCCTGTTACCTCATACTTATAACCACTAAATGCAACACAATTTTTAAAAAGTAAGTACATTCTAGCTCTTCTATGTCCAGCAGACCCTCTTGACCCGCACTCTGAACTGGAGGGAGAGGCCCCTGACGGATCCTTTGCGAACCGTAATGGTCGCCACGCCATCGGTCACGTGGACGATTTCAGTGCCCTGCAGCAGCAGGTCCTGGAGGGCCGGAGTCTTGTCCAGCGCATGGAGGCGACCCTGCAGGCCTGCCTCGGCCCACCACTGCTGGAGGACAGCCAGAAGCAGAGCAGCGAACTGGTCTGTTCCCAGCATCCGAACAGTCCCACAATGACAACTAATAATAAAAGTAATAACACAAGCATCTAACTGAGGTCTGCTTGCAGGTTCTGGACTATGCATGTGTGAAGAGTCTCGTGTCCAACACCAAGACTCTGAGGCAGATCCTGGAGGAGGCGATGTCTCTGCTGAAGATGTTCTGGAGAGCAGCTCTTCCCAACACTGATCCATCCATCCAAAACCTTAAGAAGGTTTGAAGAAAATATTGCGATTCTCACAATTTAATCGTAGCAACTGGACTTGCTTGAGTTCCTTGAAGACGTTCCACCTCTCATCCAAGAGGCTTCGTCAGTTCCGACCGACTAGTTGGGAGTTCCAGATACTTATATTCTTTAGGAGCCACTTACACTTGAGTTTCAGTTTCAACTGGAGGTTTGTTGCTCCTCCCCCTCATTATGTGAGGACTAAGAATATAGAAAGAATATAAGTGTCTCGAACTCCCAACTAGTCAGTCAGAACTGATAAAGCCTCTTGGATGAGAAGTGAAACGTCTTCAAGGAACTCAAGAAAGTCCAGTTGCTACGATGAATCTATGAGAATAACCATGACCTGGATGACTGAGAGTCTTCACAAACAACATATTGTGATATTTTCTGAGCTTCAGTTGAATATTTTCTGTTGAACTCAATCTAATGATGTGTGTCTAGGAGCAGTGTATGCAGGAGGAGATCTTGTCCCTGAAGCTGCGTATATCTGAGCAGGAAGAGGTTCTTAAAGGAACGATACAAAGACTGAGGAGCACCAGCCGCACCAAGGAGAGCATGGAGCACTTCATAGTCAACCAGCGTGAGTGTTTCTCAGTGTATGAGAGGAAAAAAATGCAGGAGGGGCAAGTGTAAAACAAATGACCGAGTAGGGTAAGACAGAAGGAGAGATTCTTTGCAGACAAAGCTGAGACAGACAGACTGCACACCCATTCTTGGAACTGAGAGAAGCTCAAGGTTGGGGTTTAGACAGAAACTATAAACTAGGTGATTTATTATGACGCAGACCTCTGCTGATATTGTGTAAACACACAAGATTGCTGCTTGTATCCCAGGTCTTAATGCAACAACAAAAAAAATAAAAAAACTGGAAGGAAAAGTGTATGAACATGTGAAGCCACTGACATATATCATCATCACTGAAGCATTTTCTTGTTCCTCACAGTGTCAAGGACTCGTGATGTGCTGAAAAAAGCAAGGACAAACTTGGAGGTAAGCAGCTTACATGTTGTACAGTTATCTGTGTTCACATTCCATAGGTTACGTGTTTATCAGGACTATACTGTATGTTGTGATGTCCCTGGTGTCCCAGACGTCTGTTGTAAACTCTCCATCACTGGCTTTTCTTTCTCACTTGTTCCTTCGTCCTGAACTTGTCTCCTTTACAACCCCCAGAAGAACGAGCTGAGACTTTCCTCTCTAAGCTCCTCCTCTTCCTCTCCTTATGCTGGTAATTGTCTGACATCGCGCGGCCTTGCACAGAGGTAGATGCTGCCCCAGCTTGTCTTTTCTCATCCCTTAGCTATACAATTCACCCTTCCTGAACTAAGAGTAAAAGTAAATGCAGTTCTGTAATCTGGGGCAGCTTTTACCTTCGTGTGGATTTTTGCTTTGTCTAATCGTGTCAACATCTCTGCTTTTCCATCCCGTCTATCGGCGACATCCATCTTGAGCGTATTATTATTATTATTATGATTAGTGTGCATATGAGACAATGGAGAAGATGGCATGTTAATATTCTAGAGTAGCTGACCACACATACAGAGCTCCAATAAATACCTTCATGACACCACTGTTGGCTTTTCTCCAAGACAAGTGTGGGTAAAATATTGATATAATCACCTTGTTTCCTACACAACACACTGCCATGACAACAAAGTGTGTATTCGCCTCATATACGTGATCTAAATATCCCTCTACAACTATTCTGCTTTTGTAAACACCTGTATTTTTAGCAGGTTGAGTAGAGGCTCTAAAAGGCCAAAAGTTGTCCCTGAACCCACAACACTAACCCTACATTACACACACCCATGTGTTGTTTACTTCCAACACGTCTCCTGAGTCTATTTAGGGCTTCAGACCCCCCTACAGCGAGGGCCAAGATAACTGCCTTCAGCATAGTTTCCATTCTGTGTGTATGCTGTCGCAGCATCGCTAAAGGATGTACACGCAAACTTACGCAACAGCGTTAAGAAAGTTCAACCTGCTGCTCTTCAGTCTGAGTGGCGACATAAACAATCCACAACCCATACCACAGTCACACAGCAAAAACACTGCAAGGGAGTGTGTGTGTGTGTGTGTGTTTGTGTGTCTTATTCTCTAATCACTCATTCTCAGCTTTTCATCTGCAAGGCGTTGTGTTTTGGGATTTTTTTTTTTATTACAACTAACACTTTGCACAGCAGACTTCTCCTTGCTGTGGTGTTTTTACACGAATACTGAGACATTTTGGGAAGTACATGCCTTGTTGCTCAGCGTTACATGAGAGGATTGATATCACTTTTATTTCTGGCTAAATACGAAAAAAAAATGGGTGAGAGAGGAGATGATTAGCCTAGCTTAGCATAAAGACTGGAAACAAAGGGAAACTGCTAGCCTCAGTTAGCAATAGTGTTTCATTTGTGATGATGCTGTAATGGGTTATTATCTACATCTTTAAAATGTGCAACAGGAAATTGCCTAAGGTGTCCATGGTACAATGGCTACATCAGAAAACCTTCTAGCGAAATGATGTGCAATCCAGACCAAAAAAAAAAAAAAGCCAGCCGCAGTGACTCCAGGAAGTCCATGAGTCCTGGAGTCAGAAATAGTATGATGTTGCTCCTCAGGTTTTGTATATATGAAACATATTAGATAAAACATGTGACTTAGTGAGTTTTAAAATATTGTTATTTGACGTTTGTTTGACACCCTTTCGAGGAAATGCAGGCATAGAACTAAACTGGTGATCCACTGCTTACCCATGTGGTATGCACCCAAACCACTTCGCTATCAGGTCACCCTACTTAGTGAGTTTTAAAGGTCCTAGCAGGATTTTGTTACCTTCTGGCTAGTCTCGCATATCCAGACCATTTAGCTGCACAGAATGGCTGCATCTCATTATCTGTCTGCTATAGAGGGAAGAAGATATTCAGGCTTGTTTGTGTTTCTTTACACTAATCAGATTATTTTGGACCCCAGGATGCAGCAATGGTGTCCCCTCAAAATAGAGAAGAGGGAGTTGTTTTGGTGGAACATTTGCGTTGGCCAGTTCACTTAAAGACACTTGAATGGCTGCCTCACTGCACGATCCAAATCCAAAATTAGAAATTGTGAGGTGGATTTTAAAAACAGTAACATGTGGATAGCACAAGGCAAGGCATCCACGGAGTCAGACCATCAGAAGCAGGCTAACTGTTTCACCGATCACCAAGACAAGCTAGTTATCTCAGACATAAGACTGTTGTCCAAGCATGTTTCCCAAAATGTCAAACTATTCCTTTTTTCAACTCCCCAGTCAGTTTACACTCCCTTTTTAGGGATTAATACATAATAACTTCCATCTTGTTCTCCATAAACCCAGCTGAGGACCCCGGAGGTGCTGCAAGAGAGCGGCCTGCTGATCACGGTTTCCTGAAGACCAGCGGTGCTTCTGGAGCCGCCGGAGCTGCAGCCAATCAGCGCCCAGCGGCGAGGAAGCGCAGCAGCCAATGCCTGCTTTAGACTTTTAAAGAACCAGCCTCAACGCTACCACCTCTGACCTCTATGCTGAAACAGCCAAGACTTACCCCTCCCACCGCCCTCCGTCCCGCCCCTCGCACCAGCCTGCCCCTCCTTCCCCGTCCAACCCCCCCCAAGCTTCGCCTGTACCTCCGTCTAGCTACGAGAGTACTACCATCCTTCCCTCCTTCGGGCAATATGTGCACAGTATAATCTGTACCTTGAGCCTTACCGAACTCCCCTCACCTGTGTGTGACTCTCTCTGCCCTGCCCCCACCACCACCTGTGTTATTGTCTTTGAGTGATACGGTCAGCAGTTTGCCTTGTCGTGTGTGTGACAGACGAAGGTGTTCGAAATGTGCCTCCGGTGGTTTCAGTGATGAGCGTCCTACTGATGGAACTGGTTGAAGATGCCCTTAGACACTGATCTCAGACTTGGGGGGGTTTATTAAAGAAACCGTTCGGTTGCATTTTTAGAACATTTCAACACCCTTTGAGACTTAAGACATTTTAAAAATTCCACCAAAGTTTCTATAGTACACCCCCTCGTCTGCATCTAAGGGCATCCTCTCCTGAGAACCAGGCAGCCTGCGGACGGTAGAAGATGTTCGTGCATGTTTAAAATGGTATGTGAAAGGAATTCTGCACACACGTACGCACACATATGATTTCTGTCTTACGTGTGCGTGTGATCGAGCACAGCTCACTCAAAGACAGCCTCAACTTTGACTGCCACAGAAATGCAAGTTTACTTTTCGTGGCCCTTTTATTAACGAGGACATCTTTTTTTTTTGCAAATGCAATGCAAAGAAAAACGACACCTACCAACAATTACACACGGTGGAGGAATGTACAGTAGGTAGGTGATCACCGCTAAGTAGTCGTGCACTAGCTGTATCTGTATTTGTGGAGGGAAGCGTTTGAATGAGCCATTAGCCAAGGGTTATAAATAGCAGAAGAAGAAGAAAAAAAAAGCCACAGAAAGGTTCCATTACAGTCACAAGCCTCCTCGTTTAGGTCCCAAAGGATGCTTAATTGGCATCAAACTCCAAACCTAAAATATACGAAAGACGTGGGAGCTGGGTCTATCGGTCTGGTCGATTTTGATTTCCAAGCTGGATGTTCACAAAAAGAAAAAAACAAAAAAAGAGGTTCAAGTACTCAAATGGAACCAGGCTAAACACGCGTATTCACTCCTCTGTAGGAGTTCTCATACGAGCATGTGCAATAATGATGTTTCTCGAATGCTGCACCGGGTTGTTGTTTCTTTGCCTGACACTGGATTAATACTCACACTCACACTAAAGTTAGGACACGACCAGTGCTGCAATTGTACTGTTTTGTTTTGTTTTTTCTTGAGTGTTGATGCATGACAGAGATTGTAAAATGGTAAAAATCTAAGCTATGGAACACAGGAGTGCCGATACTTGCCAAAGTTTGAACTTTGAACTCTCTGACTTGCCTTATCCATGCGAATGACAAAAAACCCGGGTCGGATCGGACCACGGGGGTTACCTTGGTGTCTTTTTTTTTTTTGAAGGGCCTCTAGAACCACAGAGACGGTAACCGTTAGACAGCTGGTTCAGTTTATTTAGAGTTGTGCGACAGAAATTAGCTCCTTTTTTGGACCAAAACTCAGCAAAGTGGATTTTTTCCCACAGTGCCATATGCTAGTGTCTTTTTGTTATTTCTCTTGGTTCAGGCCATCTTAGCATTCCCATGGCAACGGCAATATGGATTATTAAGTTCTTACAGATGAAACAAACTTTGGCAGGTTGCTGGTTGGGTTATTGTTCCATAATTCACTCATTTAGAGCAGTTCAATCTTACAGTTAGTGTGTGTGTGTGTGTGTGTTTTCTTGCTGTACATTTGCCATTTTTTGCTGTAAATAACCTGCTTTTCGGTATGAACTTCACTTGTGAGTGTGTGTGTGTGTGTGTGTGTGTGTGCGTACATCCAACATTTGCTTTTTGCAAAGTTGATTATCTGGGTAGCTGTGCAATAGCTTGATATCTTTTATTTTGATGTTAAACATCATTGTATTACGAGTCCGTTTGCTGCATTCACGTCCTGCTGTGTATGATTTATATGCAGTGTATGTCACATTGAATCAATTAGTCACATAGACCGTGTCCCATAAGTAACCACGAACTATGCCTTCATCATATTTAAGACACTGATCACATCGTCCACCTATAACAAAGCTCTGATTAGTATTTGCTTCGCTTGCCTTTAAATTTAGCTCGGGAGCCTCTTCGCTGGGCTCTCGGTGGTAGAAATGGCCTTGAACAAGCGTCTACCTGAGTTCTGCCAAATTAGGTTTTGTTTGCGCTTGAGTCTTTAGACAAAGACGAAAGTTGCCAAGTATTTCGATAAGAGTAAAAAAAAAAGTTAAAAGGGAAAATTTTTGAGGAAATTGTGTACTATAGACAAAAAAAAAAAAACCAAGCCAGTGACTGGAAAGATTGTGAAATGTTTAATTCACAGAGCACCTTGTTAGAGCGTAAACAAAGCCTTTTTGCTATTTGTATTTAAGAAGGGAAATCGGAACGTGGGTTTGAAACGATGTATTGTTAACTCGCATATGTATATAGTGCTATCAGATTGGTGCAGCTTTTTTTCTGAGTTTGTGCATAATGAACTAGAAAGCCGATGCAGGACTCGTACGGATCCTGTCTCTGATGACAGTTAACGGTGTGTTGTGTTGGCAAAAGTATTATCACTGAAGGATTTTGAGAATGAATTATTAAAACACTTAAAATGATTCTGTGGTATCTTGGTTCTAATTTCTTCTTGCATTGGGGTAAAGGAGGGGATGTGATGTGCAACAGCTGGAATCAAACATTACAGTTAAATAGTCCCATTTGGCTACTGAGGCATTCCAGAGCTAACGTTGTTTTTCTATATGTGGATCCCTTTTAGTTGCCGGAAATTAAAAATCTATATCACAGGTCATCAGAGTGACATCACAACAGGCTCTGGCACCTCTGGCCAGTGGGGGAAGAAGCATTCAGATCGTAAAAGCGATGTAATAAAACAAATACTTCATTACAAATAAAAGTCCCACATGAAATGAAGTACACCACCACCACCAGCAGCAGCAGCAGCAGCAAATGATCAGAATAAAAATACTGATTTGGTCTCTGACACCATTAGATGATTAATAGTGAAGCATCAGTGTGTCAGCAGTATGTAGTTGTTGTAGCTGCTGCAGGTTTTAAATACTTTTCACACAGTTTTACATAGCGGGATTCAATCCACAAATCTGTTCCTTGTTTTTGCACCTTTTGTCTAACCTTGAATTCTTGTTGAGATCATTTGCTTTTTGAAATCATGTGAGTACCAAGTTCAAAGAGAAAAGCTCAGAGACTTCCTGGTGGCGCTGCTAACAACACATAGAGATCTGAAATGTGACCCTGACAACACATCAGAGGAAATAAAGGTTGAAGACCACTGGTTT